AAGGTAAGGATGGCCGTATTCTGTATTTTTCCTTTTTGTCAACAAATCCTATGAAAAGACCAAAAACAACATGGTATTTACCTTGCTAACAAGGATTGCCTGTGTAGACATTGTAGTCCGCTACTGAGAATAGTCCCCAACAAATGCCCTATTTACTCCTGCTGGAGTGACAATGCTAAAAACTACAATGCCCTGTCCCCAGAATAGAGAGATTGGCTAAAGTATTGTTTGCTTTGGTCTTTTTTTTTGTTGACAGTATAGAAAATAGAGGATAACACCAGCCTTATGCTTTAAAGCTTAAATCTTTAACTTTCTGCATGTTGTCACCCTCCAAGTACAACAATTATATTTGGTGCTGATATCTAGCCATCTCAGTTAATGGCACTTCCTGCCGACCCGACTGTGTTATAAATATGTGTGCTTTATCAGAACTGTCACTCAGGTCGTGTGCAATCTGAGAAACCCAATCAGTTTTTCTCATTAGCAGAATATGCAGCAACAGCCTGTTTTAATGTTGTACCATACTCCATCAAAAACAGGCTCTATATAAATAGGCTATATTCATTTTAAAACATTACATATTTCAGCTTTCAGTTGGCCTGTCATTGTTGCCAAAATGACCAAATCCCTGCCAAATCACTGTGTTTTGTCATTTGCCTTTGGGGCTTGACAAATAGTTTAGTGATGTGTTGTCACTGAGCTGGTGAAAATGCCAGCAGGTGGAGGGGTAGATTGAGAATGTGTTAAAATGCCTTTTGGCTTGGAGTTTGTTTTGTTTGTTTGTTGTTTTTCTCTCTGAGACAAACAGCCGTCTCCAACAGACACCGCACCTCACTAATGAAATCTTGATATTACTCGACAATGCTTTTGATACACTTTTTCTCTGGTGTGTGCATTTATGCAGGAGGAAAGAATACTTGAATTATTAAGACAAGAGCTGAGTTTTAATGAATGATTACATTTTACACACACACATAACCGGTGATACAGTTTTTTCACATGCTTTTACACCAGCAGATCATCACAGAAACTTTCTGTCCAAAAATGGCTTCTTACTCGCAGCGAAATCATAAGCAGACTCAGAAGCGTTACTGAAATTTTTCTAGCACTGGTCTCTGAAGACTGTGCCGAGTTCATTAAAGGGTGAAGTTGGAGAAGATCAGTGACTGCTGTTTGTCTTTGTTCTTCACAACAAAAAGGCATTTTCAGTTTTTGCAAAAGTTGAGTAGAAAAAGCCAAATATTGCCCAATAAGTGGTGAGAAGATGAGATGTCATACACATGAACTCACATTGCCAGGAATTTCTGCTATACGCCTCATACGCCTGCTGTACTGTGTCCCCAGCCATGTTACATGATTGATCCATCTTTAATCTCATAGTGTAAAGCAGGCAGCACTGTTGGATTGTATTACGTATGGATCTGTCAATTAGAAGCCAAGTAGCATGCGGCTACACATTTTAATGATATTGAATGATTTGCAAGGTCAACAGAGATGCAGAAACCTTTGAAAACATATAAGGTTGTGTTCGACCTCTGATGTGTATAGAGCTCTCTGTGTCCCTGATACTGCTGTTTCTACTGCAGTAATTGTTTAGTTATGCAGTAAGATGGATCTTTTTTTTCTGTCTCCCTCATTACAGAGGCAACTCAATCTATCCCTCTGCAAAAATGTGAGCCAGGGGGGTAAAAAAAAAAAAAGCGTGAGTGAAATTGACTGAATTGAAATAAAGTCAATTACCCAGATGCTATCCCACTGCAAGTATTTCAACAAGGACCCAGCAAAATGTTGGAATGAAATTGCTTTTTATAAACGCTTCCCCAACAGTAGATCCTTTTATTTCTTGCCCCTTTTTTTCCTTGATACTGTTTCCTTTTTTTGTGCTTTACAAGTTTCCATTAAAGACTTCCCAGTTCGTAACAATGCACAGCTTCAAGGCAGTCAAACAGAGAGCAGTTATCACATCTGCAGCCAGTTGGAAACATCTCTAATTACTACTTATTACAAAGAAATCCGGTCTGTGGAATAAAATGTTCCATTATCCTGTCTTGTCTTTCATTTTTTGTAATATATAATCTGACAGCACAGGACTGTGTGTTAATGTAAAACAGTGTCGTCACTCATTTAATACGTAATACAGGCGGGTAATATAAAAGAATTCTGAACTTTTTCATATATCTACTTTCTTATTTTGAATTGGTCCTCTTGCTGATATATTGCACCACACACTGGTTTTTAGTCCTTGGATGGCAGTGTAGTACTCCAGAAGAAATCACATTTGGTATGCGCTCTGAGTGCTGCTAGCAAATACCACTGTACTCACTGCAACTTTAGGTCTGTTCATTTCATGGTGACTCTGCAACATGAATCACCTTCAGCAGAAGAAGAAATAATCAGATTTTTTACTTAAGTAAAAGTAGAATTTTCAGGCTAAGGTAAATAAATAGCCGCTTTACCAGCCTGCCAACACTACGGCAATTAAAACCCAGTGCAACAATTCTAGTGGCAAACCTACCATTTTGCCTGTGCAAACCTCTGAATTCAGTTTTATATTGAGCATCCTGCCAGCCTTATGTACATACACATTTATTCTCACATACGAAGAATTCACCATTTAAACCCAAGCTTATTATGCATGACTTTTTCCATTTGCAAGTCCTGCTGGCGTTGGTTCAAAACATTTCCACTCGGCCACTTACTGTATGTCAGCTTGTGTGTAGGCCGGAGCTGGTGCTCTCTGTGTGTGTCTGCTTGTCCTCAACCATCACGTGTGTCTCGCCTTCCCCAACCTCAGGCCCAGCCCGGGCTCTCAGGAGTCATCCCCTGGAAAGGCATGACAGAGCCCCAGTGTTTGGAAATGGCTGCGCTGGCAGCGATAAGCAGTTCAAAGAAGAGAGCGCATTAATGTAATTGGCTGCCAGCAGCACGTTGGCCTCGTCGTCTCATATCCACACGTGGTAACACACTCACCACGCGGATTATTGGAGGGGAGTGTGTGAGAGAGGAGAGAGGATAGAGAGGATGGGAATGAGAAAATAGGGGAGAGAGATGAAGGAGAGGACAGATAGAGAGAGGGGAGGAGGTCCTCATTGTGTCGCTCATTAAGCCGTGGGAGGCTCAAGGAGGCCGAGAGATGAGATGAGGTGTCGGAGTTAAATGTCAGGTCTGGAAGGGACGTGGCTGACCTCCATGAAACCAGCCTACACACACACACATAAATGGACAGAGGGGCTCCTCTGTCCAATCTTGAGCCTCATATTATCCCCTCAACTTCTCCTCTCCTCCTCATTCTTTAACTCTCTCTCTCGCTCTCTCTTTCTCTCTCTGCCACTCACATAGTTTCACCCGCTCAATTTTCCACCCATTACACCCAAATTACTGGTGTCATTGTAAATTGAATTGTTGCAACCGGATAGCAGCATTTCCACTGAACAGCCCAGACCGCTACCTACTGTAGTGGAAGTGAAGGCTATTTCCTTCAGCTAATTTCCAAGTCTGTGTGATGGGAGGCACAGAGGAGAATGCCGGGTGGCTTCCTCCACTGTTATGAAATGCCTTCACCAAAGGCTGTGAGTGGCTTTGAAGTTTAGACTCTCGCCGTTGTATTTCAAATATTCTGCTCTTCTGTCTCTCCCTGTGAGTTCTCTCTGAGCACTTCTGATCTCTCTTTCTATTTATTTTCATCTCTTGCCCCCTCTTCAGGTTCAAGTCTTGCTCTAATTTTTATTCTTATTCAAAGCTCTTTCACCTTCTGATCTTGTGGTATCTTCTTTCTTTTTTCCTCTTCACAATGTTGAGTGATCATGGAACATTGGAAGTGGCAGTATTCGGGTGTTTCCTAAAGCTGCACTGATCGATATGTTTATTTTAACAACTGATCAAATAAAAATGCGGAAGGTGCCGCTCATAGTGATGAACTCACAGAGACTTATCACCCGGTTCTGCAGTTCAGAGAATGTCTTTCAGCTCATTGTTTTGGTCACTCAGTCTCATTGCTTTCATACACCCAATTTCTAGCCACAAAAAGCAGCTGTTTTCAGTGAAAAGGCTTTGATAAACCCACTGTACACTACTTGCCCCACAGCAAACCACAGACATACAAAGTTAGAAACTACCTGGTGAACATAGTGGAGCATTTGTCATCTCAAGAGCCAGGCATATCCCTCAAGAGTTGGTGTAGACCAAAACAGTAAATACTGGACTTGCATTCATCAGGTGTACCGAAACAATACTTCAAATGAATGCTATGTTACTCAACTGGAAGTGTAATCAGGCAACTGTACACATTGTGGCGGCTGTGGATCATGAGGTTGAGCGGGTTGGCTGGTAATCGGAAGGTCGGCGGTTCAATCCCTGGCAACCCCTGGTTGCGTGTCGAAGTGTTCTTGGGCAAGATACTGAACCCTGAATTGTGTGAATGTTAGTTTCCGTTGGAAGCACTTAGGCTCAGTGTATGAATGTGTGTGACTGGTGAATGCAGATGTAGTGTAAAAGCGCTTTGAGTGGTTGAAAAGACTAGAAAGGCGCTATACAAGTACGGAGCATTTACATTTTTGCAATATCAACTGTGTAAGGTGATAATATTCCAGTGTTGTTTACAGCTTATTCTGCTGCCCCAAGTTGCCAAAAAAAAGACTTGCACCCTGTGAGCAAGAGGATGTACAACTTTTTAGGCCAAGAGCAGCATGAATTAGGAACTCCATGACTGTGAAGTCAAGACTAAGAAGTCAACAGTCTCATTTTGCCTCAGATTTCTACGCTAAACTTTGGGCAGAAATTTGTTTGTCATTTCTTGAAGTGTGTGGTGATCACTTCACTTTGTAGACCAATCTGGACTTAAGTTTCACTCAGGGTTTCAGATTTCAGATCTTTTTTGCATTTTCTTTGTGCCAAATAAAGGAAGGAGCTCTGTAGCCGACAAATATTGTTGTTCAACAAGATCAATCTATACAAGGCAACTTCAAACATTCCCATAATAACATAAACCTCTCTCTATCCAGGTCAACCCTTCAAGTTGGACCCAAAGACGGCTCACAAGAAGTTACGTCTGTCCAACGACTGTCTGACCATGGAGAAGGATGAGAGCTCACTGAAGAAGAGCCACACCCCGGAGCGTTTCAGCGGCACAGGCTCCTATGGCGCAGCTGGTAATGTCTTCATTGACAGCGGGTGCCACTACTGGGAGGTGCTGCTGGGAGCGTCGACATGGTAAGAAACACAGATGAACAAGAGTGCATTATATAAGCCTGCAAGGAGCCTTCATAAACTGAAATAAATAAATAAATAAATCTAGGCTGTTATGCAAATCCACACGTATGCTCATAACAGACACACATTCAACACACACAGTGTATACTCTTATCCTATTTATATTCTTTTCACTAATTGGCTCTGAAGTAGACCTCTTCATGCAGGAAAGACCCAGAGGGCCTGTGCCTATCTTGTGTGTCCTCAGCGCGAGGTAGCTTGACTGTGCATGTAAAGTCACTAAGGACACTACTTTCAGATCACTAATGCATTCCAAAATGTTCCTTCCCTGCAGGTATGCCATCGGCGTGGCTTACAAATCAGCCCCGAAAAATGAGTGGAGCGGCAAGAACTCATCCTCATGGGTGTTCTCGCGCTGCAACAACAACTTTATGGTGCGCCACGATGGCAAGGAGATGCTGGTGGAGGCTAGCCTGCAGCTGAGGCGGCTGGGTGTCCTGTTGGACTACGACAACAACTCACTGTCCTTCTATGATGCCATGAACTCCCAGCACATTCACACCTTCGAAATCTCCTTCCTCCTGCCCGTTGTACCCACTTTCATGATCTGGAACAAGTCAGTCATGATACTCTCAGGGCTACCCGTCCCCGACTTTGTCGATGGTGTGGCCTCAGATCTCCAAGAGCAGCAACATCAGCAGATGGGCCTGTGCAGACAAGAGTCACCATACTTGACCGGGATGAAGTCCTGCCACTGAGAAAGGCCAACAAATGGCCTTGCAGAGTCCACTCAGGCCCAGTGACTGAAAGGTCTATTGGGAGCTGAAAGACACTGACAGCTTGACTGAGTCTAACCTCTTCATTCAAGAGTGGACCAGTTACTTTAATATGGATTTAGAAAAGTGTTGGAAATATGCACACCCGTCTGGAAAAATGTCAGTCACCTTAGTTTGTAGCCATCCAATGCTTTACAAATCCAACAGTGAATGGGAACAAGGTCTCTTGACTGCAAACGTCAGTAGACCTGAAATTCGTCTGAAGCCCTAGAGTCACTAAGGGCAGGGCTGGACATCTGGTTTTCTAGACCATTTAAGGTCTTCCTTTTTGATTTATTGTCCTCCTTATTTGATCCTAGGCAGAAGACCAAGAAGGGAATGGTCAGCCTTTTACAGTTTGAAGTTACAACATGTGAACAGTGAGATTACTTAATGTTTCACTTATGGTAGATTAAAACACAAAAAATCCATTGAAGAATCAGCCTACTACAGACATTTTAATTTTATTTTAAATGTCCATATTTCTGTCTTGCTTGATATGTCAAGTGAACAAAATTTGACAAAAACTAAATTAAATTGGACTCATTATAGATCAGAATTAGCAGTTAAAGGAAAAGTTTCACTATATGGGAAATACACTTAACAGTATTTGCTTTCTTAGCAAGAGTTAGATGAGAAGGTTGATACCACTCTTGCATCTGTATGTTAAATATAAAGCTAGAGCCAGCAGGAAGGTTAGCTTAGTGTGGCATAAAGACTGTAAGGTCTTGAGTCTGATAGTTAAACAAATGGGATATAATGTGTAATGGTGTGAACTTTTGAGAGCTTCACGGTGGATTTTTACCTTTAGACAGAGCAGGACTAGCTATTTCCCCTTGTTTCCAGTCTTTGATCTGAGCCGCCTGCTGGCTACAGACGTGAGAGTGGTATTGATCTTATCATCTTACTCTCGCCAAGAAAGCGAATAAGCGTATGTCCCAAAACATTTTTTCCTTTAAATGTGGATGTGTCTTCTTTGAGTCCACTTTATTGTGTGAGCTACATGCTAACACAAATATATGCTAGCTGTGGACTTTTTGTGTTGCATTACAACAGGGTGTATTACAAATCTTCTGGTGTCACTCTTCATGTGTTGTACCCTCAGTAATGTTTTCCTTGATCTTCCTCCTAGATTTGACGCAGCAGTCTTGTTTGTATTGGCGTGTAGTTGCTTCCAGATTTCAGGAAGCGTTTACGTTGCTCCCACATATAAATAAGATCACAGGGGGTAGGATTTGCGTCATGTGACTACTCGATTTGTATCATAAGAGGTTTATTGAATATTAGAGGATAAGATGTTATTTATGACAAAAAAGGATGGTTTACTTTTATTATTAATCTCAACATATTCATGATGCACTTTTTAATTAACACAATTTCCCCTCTATGAGTATGAAAGTAGATGGAGCAAGGTGGCAGGGATATAATGGGGAGGGAAAGTGACAGCTAGCACGACTGCTGGTTGTGTTCACTCCTCTAAATAGCCTACATCACCTTATTTTCCTACTCATATTTAGAAGATGATTTATGGTCAATAATGATGGTTTGCGGATATTTTACTATAGCAAAGTCTATTGTGAAAAAAATAATGGTCAAACTAATTTTTGTTTTGCTAGCACCTAATCTAGTCACTCAGAGCACTTTGCAATAAAACAGAGGTCCCTGCTGGTGAACTTATGAAGTTAAAAAGGTTTTTTGACTGCTTTGAACACAACCAGTGACTTTCCCTCCCCATGACTCTTTTCGATAGCATATAGTAACTTCATCTTGTTTTGAAAAGGGATATGATTATGATGATATTCCTACGATTTTTATCATGATGAAATGATTATAAACTAATCATCATTCTGTTGTCAACTTTTCAGGGAAGGAGGGGGTTAACACTTTAACTTGCTGTCTGTCGCAATGTCATGGCATGATTGTGTTTTCTTCTGTGATTTCTTAACACACACACATGCACATACACACACAAAGCATCGCACACATCATGTTTCATTTAGGTTGGCCTTGTCGTGATAAATGCATGAAACATTGTATCCCACACCGGTTCACTGGGTAATTTAAGTAGCTTTTTCAATGTCACCAAATCTTGCTTTTCATCAGATACTGACTCACCTGCACATTTGCTTACAACAGATTTGACCTCAAACTCTTTTTGTCACCCATCACAATTCAAATAACAGCTGGATCCATTGTTTGGGGGGTGGGATTTGAAGGCCTTGTGTGGGTGACAGTTTGATATTCAGGTAGTGACTCTGATTCAGACAATCAAATATGTATCATAGTTTATGCAGATTTTAAGAGGTTGTGTAGCAGGAAACAGGGATTGAAGTGAAACTTCAACAGATTGTGTTGAAACAAGCAGATGTTTTACATACCATCTTGTTAGATTCGACATGAAAAACATGACACTTCATGGCCATTTTACACATCACCAGGTATGCACTTAATGTTGAATGTCATGTAACATTTGTATTGACGGACTATGATTTGCTAGACTTGAAAACACAGTCATACCCTGTAAACACACACTGATTTCTATGATTTGCTAGAAAACATGATTACTTATTGATGAGTTAAAGCAAAGATCCAGTGATGTAAAGGAAAAATCTGACAACCCACAGCCTCCCAGTGTACCTTTCAACCTGCAGTGTTCTCAAAGGCAACTGTGTGATGCGTCAGTCATGATTGTTTGATAGAGGTATAGATTGCCTGAGCGCTACAGGCAACAGAAATAATCCACTGGTCAAAGGTAGCACAGGAGGAGTCTCCAGTATGAAAGGAAGGTTATTCTGTCAGGGAGATTAGTGAATGTTACCTGACTTCCAGATATCCACCCATCTTTTTGAACAATGTTGGTCACAGTCTTGAAACAGCCATGTGTTGATTTGTGATCCAGAATGACAAGCTCAACTCATCTGTGCAAGTGTGCTTGGCTGGGTCACTGCATGATTATGTGACCTTGCTGCAGGTTCATAACTCCTTCCTTATCTTCATGATGGGGTTTCTTATCTTGTGTCAAACATTTTTTTTTCTTTTTTTTTTGTTAATGGAAAAAAAAAACGTGACACTCAGACACGAAATGTTCATTGACGCGCATATCAGATAGTTTGCAGTGCTCTTTCTTTCTTTCTTTGTGTCACAAGTCAATACAGTAAAATATATACAGTGAATGATTTTCAATAGCTACCCACTTCTTGTAGTGCAGTGTAATACCCTAGAGACAATGCAATAGATTCTCCTTTTTGCTTTTCTGTTTGTGTAACTTGGGAAGTTATTTTTTACAGCTCATGAGAAACACGCTCCTCTCCCTTTGGCATTTGGACCTTGATGAACAGCACAAAAAGAGCAGCATTGCATTCAAGCAAGGCTTTCTGTTTCCATAGACATGAGAGATACTTTTAGCCAGAGAGGAATGTAAATCATAGGGGGAAATATATTATATAAAGTTGTATAATATACAAAATATATATGAAACAATGTTATTTATGTGAATTTAAGTCCAATTAAAAGTCTGATCCTAAATGTGTTGGAGTCTGAATTCTTTGTCTCAGCCATGTTGCCTTGATGGGCTTTTATTTTTATTTTGTTTGCACATAAAATATATCATTGTATAAATACACAAAGACATTCACATACATATTTACAGACACACTCAGATAGACATAAATTTAAAGTGAACAAAAGCCAAAATACCAAAGCCAGTTCCTTGTATGTGTAAATCGTCTTGACAAAAAAGCTGATTCTGATAGAAAGCTCAAAGCTCAAGGGGAGATAAACAGGATTACCCTCTTTTACTGTGTATATATAAACTGTTTTTCACTTTTTTCCTTAGCTAAACAGTCACATCACCAGTCAATGCAATTCAGTTCATACAGTAGTAAGTGAACACATCACTGCTCAAAGGCACATCAGTACATACAACAGTAAGTGAATGCATCACCGTCTGCAGTTTAGTAGTACTTTTAGTACTATTTACTATTTACTTCTAGTCTATTGCATGACCGGTTTAGTACAAAACTACCCCGCATACATACATACATGCAAAGATACATACAGACATTGAATTACTCCATCACGATATTGATGTGTTAATTACCCTAATTTTGCAAGATGGTTAACGCTCAAGGGTTAATCTAATGGTAATTTTACGACATGAGGTTGTAAAACCTGCGATGGACTGGCGACCTGTCCAGGGTGTACCCCGCCTTTCACCCAATGTCAGCTGGGCGGTTGACGATGGATGGACGGAGGTTGTAAAACAAAATTTAGATTTGTAGTGCCTTTAAGCTCACACACAAAAAACACAGAGGAAAATACAAATAGAATCCTAATATAAGGATCGATATTAAAACTCCTTTTGAGATGAATGTCATACACTACACACCAGAGTTTGCTCACACTGAACTCTAGTATGTAGCATGGACACCAATTTCAAATGCTTCCAAAAGGCCTGAGCCTTGGAACGGTTAAAGGCAGAGTAAAGCTGCCAGGCTGGCAGGTCAGCCAGAGCTCAGGGTGGGGTTAGTAGGGCTATACCCTTTTAGCCCTCATCTGTCACCACTGGCACACACGTGTCTCATTACTACAACACTGTAGCGTAGTGCATAGGCCACACACTGCCTGCAAGCATGGCACACACATACACACTGACCCTGAAACAATGAACAATATGGTCACTTATTTTGTAGCTCGTTTCCTGTGAGGCAGGGCTGTTCTCACAATGTCATGAGGGGACCAGGGAATCTCAGTCACTAAACCGTTGATCACTATATAAAATGATCTTAAAAAGTGTGTCAGTACAGAAACATTACATAATATGTTGGTATTATACATATTATTTTGCCATCTGTCCCAGTGTCTGTCCTGCAATATCCTAAAGCAAGTCAGTGAAACCATATCTGCTCCAAGGTTACTGCTGTGCAGTTGACCTAACACTGCTACCCCTGCTGAAAAGATGAATTATCTCCCTCAGGGATCAATATGGCATCACACACATACATCATACCCATGACCTTGGATAGTTTGGAACAAATATGTGCAAATGTCTAACCTAAAGCAAAAAAATGTGGTGAAACAAATTGTTGGTCTAAAAACAGTCCAGGAACCTGATATGGTTTATTGAGTTTAAAGTTTTTAATGGATTCTACCCGAAGTCTGCTAGCTCAACTACACCCTTTGACATTTTCCCCCAAAGAGTCTGGAAACTTTCATGTTTCCTTCAGCAGCAACATCACTATTGCGGAGGCAGGTGTTGCTGTGAATAAAGCTTCCTGGTTCATCTTGACATTGTTGAGCAAGATAAATGTCAACATGGAGAAAGTTGATTCTGTTCAATAAAGTTTGTGTAGGGTGCATATACCGAACTTAAAAACAGATGGCACATACAACATGTGAAGGATTTTTAAAGGCTATAAAATGAAGAATAAATACTCATTAGAGCTGCATCCCACTGTTTTTGCACTATGGACACCAGGGAAAAGATGCCTTATTTTGCAGCTGTAAATTCCAAATAATTTCGAGAATAACAAGTTTCTTGAAATGAACTATGTGATCTTGATCTAGTTATACATTAATAAAGGCAGAGTTCAGTTGGTACACTTCCAGTTAATTAATTCCAACAAATTGAAACATAACCTTGAGTCTTTTGGTCAGTGCACAGCAGGTCAGCTGAACATTCTAAATGTGAAAATTGTGTACAGGCATCCAACGAAGGTTAAAATCAAGGGCAACTGGACTTGGTTGAAGATACTGGAAGACGTTTCGTCCCTCATCCAAAGGACTTCTTCATTTCTGACTGACTGGCAGGGAAACTCAGCTATTTAACCTCAGTGGGGTCGTTGGCCCGGGTCATCGATACCGCTGGTTCGTTAGTGTTCCTTGTTGCTGTGACGACAGTCGTTACAGTCGTTAAGACTACCTGTGGCCAAGACTGAACGACCACCGTTGGTATCTTCACCTGAGGCCAATAGGTTACGTTTGTTGAGTTTCCTGGGAAGTGATGAAAGGACAGCATTGTAAGTGGGGGATAAGTGGTGGCGTAGACCCCCTCCCCTGTTCAATGACGGCTTCATTGAACAGGGGAGGGGACGGCTACTCAACTTGTGTACAGGAAAAAATAAATGTTCTCACGTCAGTAATTACTGATTAATATTTGCTTGGGTTAAAAGAAGCAGTTCTTTTGGGGGGTAATTTGGTTGGAAATTAACTAATACTTTTAAACTTAACACAACAAACTAAATCAACTTAAATAACAGTCTTATAACTTTGTCCCAATTATTTTCCTGTAAGTAGCACCTTACAATAATTAGTCATTTGATTGGCTGAAAGAACACCTTCATAAACAGCACCACTGTTTAGCTTCCTGTTCAGGTACAAACAGCATACGACTTTACAGTTTTTATGTCAATCAAACCAAAACATTTAATTTGTATTGAATTAATAAACTGTTGCTTCTGAAAAGACCAACAGTTCTCTGACATAATAATACTGGTTTGAGGTATGATAGCAGCTTGTGGTATCTGCACCATTTCTACCAAACCTCCTGTTCTTGACTTTTAGCAGACTGTTGCTCATCACGAAGAGTCGACTGTACATTTGCTTAGTAGCCTAATAACTGCTCCGCCTCTGAGCCGGGAATGTTAGTAGTAACAGAGCCAGAACGATGTCTGTGTGAAAAGTCACAGCTGGCATGCCAGAACAGGTGTGTCAAGGTCTTTTTTTTTCACGGTCTAACCAGGAAAGCCGGATGTGGCACATTGGCGGACATTCTTAACACGTTTTTTTTGCGGGATCTCTGTGTGAAAGCAGAAACTGAAAGTCAGAGGGAAATCAAATTACAACCCATAAGAGTATACCTGCCTGCTGTGGTGTCCGAACAATTATACTGCAATGATGTGTTGAGAGGAAACCCACTTGACACTGTTCTTGATCATAAAAGTTTATTAAATCAAAGAGTTCAGCATCAATTACAAGCTCTGCAGCAGCTTGGAGAGTGACCCAGCCCGATGGCCACTCTGTCTCTCTGTACATCAAACATAGCTTATATAGGATATGTTCAGGTATCTGTTAGGTACCATAGAAGGGTTTGAGTCTGCAAAGTAAAAGGTCAAACCCATAGAAGGGTACAGTACTATTTTGAGATAACAAAACAAGGGGTTAGAGGTCAAATTCTATAGAAGGGTTCAGTCCCTACATAACCACCAATCACTGCTCTCCCCGTAGAAGGTCACTGACCCTCTGTCCTGCTGCTACAGTGCTATTTTGAACTGTTATGAGTCAAATGCACAAGTACTGGATACTACACTGCCTCAATCAACATTTTACATCTGAATATTATTATTATTATTAGACTTTATTTAGAGTACAACACTGTACCACTATCAACGTACAACAACATAACAGAAAATGGAAAGCAGCGCAGCAGATGGAAATAAGGTACTAGTTGTTACTCGTTTTAGGTAGGTTTAGGAATATTTTGTGCTTTTGTTTTCCAGTGTGGGTTTGCAGGGATGGATTACAAACCTCAGTTTCTTAAGTCCGTCCAGTACAGTCCACAAGTTTAAGTAGTGGGGCTGGGATTGGAGGCCTATCTACCTTTCCACGTGTGACAGATTTGCTGGCGGTTAATTGTGATGCTCACTCTGTCTCTGCTCCCTCACACCGCTAGCCAGCTTTAGCAAGGAAGCCGTTGGAGCAACCCATAATTACATTTCTAATTGCAGAATAATTAGGACTCCCTGTGTAGCTCGTTAAGTCATTTGTCACCGAAGCCTCTAATGTAGCGTACAACAACTCTCTAATTACACCGAATGAAAAGTCTACATGGTGGGGAGCATTTCACCACTACCAGTGGCCTTTCATTTGGAATTTCGCCTGATAAAAACACATTTAATCAATTCACATGTTGATTATTTGTTGTTATTATTATTGTTATGATTATTATTAGCTACTTACCAAGACATTACTTTGTCCACTGAGGATGTCATGCAGCAAAGTTTAAATTATAACCTTCTAATCACAAAATACTGTGTGTGGTCTTGGCTTAAATTTGCACAGCGCAGTAGAGATGTGGCCAAAATACTTTCTTTAACCTTTGAAATACGGTAAGGTCGGGTACTTTCTCTCTCCAGAGAACAGTGAAAGTCTGATATGCGCTTTTATCACCAGCAGGCAATAGATTAATGTAATGTACTCCTCTCTGGTCTCCCAAAAAGACAGTAGCTACAACTCTACAGCTCAGAATGCTGTTTGAGTTTTAGCAGAACATTTATTTAAAAATATGCAGATACAATTGGAACATGTTCAGAATATGGCTTAAATACACATCTCATACAGACCACTTCAGTCCTGTGATGACCCAGAGACAGTCTTTATTTCCTGTGTGGCTGAGGAAAAAAACCCAGACGATCTGTGAGTGTTAAAACTAAACTATTTTGCTCCATTTTGTCTTTGCTCTTGTGTTTTTTGTTTTACCTTTTGGCTGGTCTCTCCAGCATTTAAAGCAGCAAATATATGAAATTGCCATAA